ATCCTCACTCCCAGCAGGGACCTGGGCACTGGGCTTCCCCAACTGATTACCTTCCGATGCCCTTTTCAATTTGTCTTCCTTGCAGGGGGAAGTTGTGGGTTATAGAGCTAATTGGCCACATGATTAAAGCATCCTCCAGACTGTGGATTCAATATTTCTTTCTGCATCTTCTGTGTGAGTGTTTCCTGAGCTGGGTTCTATTTTATTGCATATGCTCATCACATGTTACCTTCAGGACCCCGGCCTCAGGCAAAATTCCTATGAAGATGCTGACAGTGACAAAGGCTTGGGCTCAACCAGGGCAGCCCTTGTTCCTGGTGACAAAGTGCCCTGAGCATGGGCAGGCTGATGATTCCTGGAAACTTCTCTGTAGCACAGGATTGCAGGCCCTGCATAAAGCTCAGGGTAATAAGTAGAAGCACAGGGAAGACAACTACAAGGATGCATGGGAGCAGCAAAGACACCTTCCCCAGGGACCCCTGTGGCTTGGAATTCTGGTCCTTCAGAGAGTTTCTAGCATAAACCTTCAGTTAAAGAGACAGATGACACATTCCATTGGCTGGCGCTTATCAGCAGCTCGGGGGAAGAATATCAGAGGAAACTGTCAGAAAATGACAGTGTCATGGTTCAGTCACTGACTGAATGAAAAATACAGTGGTGAACCAACCAGGCCTGAACTTAGCCTTCCTGTCTTCCTTTACTTCTCCCTCTCCTGCTCCATGAATGATGAATGAAACCAAAGCCAGAGCTGAGAGCAGACAGAAAGAGGCTCTGGGAATGCCGTTATGGGAGTCCTCCAGGCCAACCTGGGAAGGGGTGTGTGAGCCTTGGAAGCTCTTGCACCTCAGCAAGGATGCTGCAAACTTTTTGTAGCTACCCAGGAATTTGCTGTAATTCAAGCCACCCAGACAATCACAGGGCCTTAGTGGAGGGAGCTCTGGCTCCCCTTCTCTCTCTTTATCTACCTTTTCTTACAAAATAAGATCATAGAAACTTCTGGCTCTTTGAGATTTGCAGGGTGTATCAGAAATAGCAGCCTTGCTTTGACCACAGGTGAAGCCCGGGCCAAGAACCTGATCTGCCCTTCCCCAGCTGAGTGGCATTAATCAAGCACCTTCCCATCCTTGAGGTTCTGTTTCCTGAAATGCCAGACAGGGGTGACTACCCTTACTGTGCAGAGCCCTTGCCTGGATTAGAGATAATGCTTATATGGCTCCCCAGACATAGCTGCTAACATGAGAAATGCTTCATCATTGGTGGCCATTTGAACAGTTATTTATTTTTCTCTCATCTTGCCTTCTTTTATTTCCTCTCTATATTATCTATTGTGTGTAATACAGAGGAGAATCTATAGCAAATAAAGCATCCTCCACATTCTCTCCTTATTGATTTAAGTCCACAGTTGCCTGAATTTATAACACTTTATAGCTTCTACTAACCCTGGCTACCAGTAGTATCTCCCTCCAATAACCTAAGGGAATCATACTATACATTGTTTTAATTAAACAAAACTATAACTGTCTTTGACCCCCTTCTGCATTTTTCAGATTACCAAAGGGAAAATAAGATACATGTTGATAACAAGTGGGTACTCAATCCCACAGTATTCTTGGGAATATAAGTTGGTATAAAGTTGATATGTTGTACAAGTCAATATGACAAAAGCCTTAAAAATATGTGCACTCTTTGCCCTGGCAATGGCACCTCAAGGAATTTATCCTAAGGATATAATCAGCTTTGTTCTCAAAGATCTATGTGCAAAAAAAAAAAAAAAAAGTTCTTGCAGCATCTGTATTGGAAAAAGGGAGAGAGAGAGAGAACTAAATGTCCAAAATAGGTGTGTTAATTTCAATAATCCATTGTGGTATGTCCATATATGGAAGACTTTGTTGTTAATAAACATTATGGTATAGAGTCATATTTACTAATATGGAAAGATATATATACCGTGTGTGTGTGTGTGTGTGTGTGTGTGTGTGTGTGACAAATAAGGTAATAAAACAGTATCACTGGGATCTCTGGCTTCAGCAGGTATGGGAGAGACTTCTCACCTCTTTCATACAGCAGGTAAGTAAAGAGGAGATGGATTCTACTCATCTCCCCCTTCTTTCTGTGGTCTTCCCCATGGGGAAGGGGTTGCCTAAATAATTAGAAAGATGAGGAAAACAACTTTTCAAGTATGTGCCTATTAATGACTGAATGTTAAAGTCCCTCCAAACTGTATATGTCACAAACTTAACCTCAATATGATGATATTAGGATGTGGGCCTCTGGGAGGTGATTAGATCATGAGGGTGGAACCCTCATGAATGGGATTAGTGCCCTTCTGAAAGGGACTCCAAGAAGGTCTTTCACTCTCTTTCTGGCATGTGAGGATATAACAAAAAGTGAGTTGTCTGTGACCTGAAGAGGGCCTTCACCAGAATCCACCCATCCTGGCACACTGATCATAGACTTCCAGCCTCTGGAACCATGAAACATAAACTTCTGTTTTTTTATAAGCCTGTCAATCTGTCTTATTCTGTTACAGCAGCTCAACAAATGTAGTATGCTAGGCCCTGGCTCTGGAATTCACATGCCTACAGTGGTGTGCATTGTTGTCTCTGCCTCTGTTTCTGTGAGGTAAGCCCAACTGAGTCAGTGCTTGTCCCTGCACTGAGGGGTGTGAGGTTGGGGCCACATCTCTATGGGGCTATCTGTCTGTAGTCCCACCCCCCACACAAGAAGTGCCTGGTCTACACCACGTTCTGCAAGCCAGCCCACCAAAAAAATGTTGACACAGTCTGCACATGCCTATTGTCTTCCTTCATCTACCTCATTTGATTCATAAACCATGGGGGAAAAGGGGATTAATGATTATTCTCAACCCTAACATATAGACAATATGTTTTCACTGTGTTTTTGTGAATGTGCACAAAATGGGAATGTACACAAAATATCTGGATTGATGCACAACTAAATCCAACAGTAGAGTCTCTGGGTCGTGAGATTATCTGCATGCAGGAGTTATGATTATTATAATTATTCTATTTACACCATTAAAATAGAAATAAAGTGATCCTTTGAGCTTCTTTCTCATTGCAGTGCAAATTTAGACCTTCCCTGCTGGGATGGAAGCTGTGAAGGAGGAAAGAAGACCCCAGTGTTTGTTGAACCCCTAATGAGTACTAGGCACAGTAAAAGGAGTGTAGAGTACATTTTTCTTGCAGTCTTCACATCAGCCTTATTAATTGAGGATTTTTGTGTAAATTGCTCAGGTGCTGAAATTGCTAGTGGAAATTTAGCAACTTGTATGAGTTTCTATAAGTAGTAGGAGGCAAAGTTACTCTAGTATGGACTGCCTCAAATCCATGTCCACCCAATTGAATATACTCAGGGAATTCAACACAGCTAAGCTAAAAAGAAAGAAAAGACAAGAAAAGAAAAACACGTACAAAGGCAATAGTATTACCAAATTAATATCACATAATACATAGACTAAAGGAAATCCATAGTCCGAATGAACAGGATCCCATTTTTCCTAAAATTCCATCAAACCCAATCCTTAGAAAACTAGAAGCAACACAATGAAAAGAGAGTAGGTTAGTTTTCCAGACACAGGGTCTCTGAATTGTGCCGAGAGTGACAGGTGCCGGCTTGAGAGCCAAGACAGAGAGAAATACGAACAAGTATACACACTGAGCCTCTCAAGCAGCACCATCTAAGAACGCCGGGAGGAGGGACAGCAACCAGTGCCTCAGATCTAATCAGCCCTGTGAGCATGGCTGAATCCAAGGAGAATACAATAATTGATTTTCACAATGATAATCCTGAGTCATCAAGAAAAGGTTACATTTTATGTTTAGTACTCTCTGTTTAAGAAGGCAGGGAAGCATGTAATCCATTTGAGAAAGATTTTCATTTCAAATCGTTAAAAATTCTTTGAAAACATTTTTGGTGCTTAAAGGGATAAGTGACAGTTATCTGGAAAATTCACTTATGTGGAACAAAGTCTTTCCTAAAGATTCTAGATCAGTGAGGCGGCATGTTATATTTAGTTAGGCTTCTATCACTTCTCCTTTGTTGACATTCCACTGTCTAATCTTCTAAAGCCTTTCAAAATTCCTAACCTCCAAGCATGGGATTGTAAATTTCTTGAGATGACAGATTGTGACACCCTTCTTGGATATTCCACACCCCTATGATTCTCAGCTTGTGTGTGTGTGTGTGTGTGTGCGCGCGCGCATGCGTGCAGCACATGCCATGATACAAATGATGAAGATATTCACAGAAATGATGGAATCCCAGGGCATCCTTGAGCTTTGAAAAAATCCTCTGGACATTCTGCAAAAACCCTTTTCGGTTGTGGTAAGCAGTCATCGAAGTATTTTTTGTTTTGTTTTGTTGTTTTTTTTTTTCCTAAAAGCAAACTTTATTTCTAAAAAGAGTTATTTCCACTGAGGCCTGCACTTTCCAGGCAACATTAGTACTGAAAACACACAGGGCTGTCCCTGCCTGCCCTGCTGGCCCCTTTGCCTGATACCACTTCCCTCTGCATCTCTTGTCCTGGACATAACTCATTGTTCTTTGGTGAATATGCCAAGATCCTTTGTGCTTTCTCATATTCTGGGAAATGTTCCCTTTCCCAGAAATATCCCTTCCCACCTCTACACCATCTATGTCTAGTTCAATGCTCTCTCCTAGTGCTATTAATCTCACAAAACTTCTCATTCTCTCAACTATTGAAGGGTGTGTATTGTCACAATTTTCTTTTTGAAGATGAGGATGAAACCTTGAGAGGCTACCATGAGAGGCTTCCTTTAGGTCACATCTGGGAATCAGAGCCAGGATGACTACATCCCCAGTACTCTCCTGACTTCATTTCTTTCCACTGCACAGTGAACAACCATCACTGCAGCTCCCTTGTGGGAAAACACCCCTCTCCTTGACATTCCATGTTTTCCAGGCCTATCTGTGGTTACCCTGTGCGACTCATGCCGAGGAGTGGGGGAGAGCCTTACCTGGCGTGTTGAGCAGGCGGGACCTTCTGCAATGGTAGGCTACCTCCTGCTCACAGTGGTCTGAGCCATCAATCATGGCTTCCAGCTGCTCCATGCTGCCACCATAATCCAAGGCCATGGTATAGGGCTTCTTGGGGTCCGCACCCTGCACACGGGTCAGCTCTGTGTTATTGTGCTGAACTGATGTCCAAATCTTGTCCTCTGTCCAGAAAACATAACCCAAGGAAGGAGACATTAGAAGGATGGTCAAAAGAGGATCATACTTATATAACTCAATAAAGCTGGGGGTGGAGGGGTGGGGAAGAGGATCACCCAAGCAATGTGATGCTTGGCTCAACGTGGGGCAATCAATCCACCTGAGTGCTCCACTCATGCAAATGAAAATGACCAGAAAATTTCTCTTTCTCATAGAGTTTCACCCAGAGTTAGTATGGGGGTTAATAATCATAGGAACTAAATTTGTGGAGCCTTTATGCTAAGCATTTAATGTCCATCATCTCATTTTAAACTGGCTATGCCTAAATTGGAAGGAAGTTAGAAATGAAGGGGGGGGAATCAGAGGGGGAGATGAACCATGAGAGACTATGGACTCTGAGAAACAAACTGAGGGTTTTAGAGGGGAGTGGTTGGTGTGATGGGTTAGCCTGGTGGTATTAAGGAGGGCACATATCACATGGAGCACTGGTATTATATGCAAACAATGAATCATGGAAGACTATATCAAAAACTAATGATGTAATGTATGGTGACTAACATAACATAATAAAATAAAATTAAAATTAAAAAGAAATGAAGGAAAAGTGAATGAGCAGGACTGAGCAGCTTATCCATGCGCAAGTGACCAAGCAAGAATAGGAACACAGGGTGTCTGACTGCAAAGCCCAGGCTTCTAGCTACTGAGAACACACTCCCCCACAAGACAAATACTAGCGTAGATAACTGTGTCAGAAACGCAAGTATCACATTGAATGTTTGCTGTACACAGATCTCCATATAGAAAGTACCTGTAAAATATACCTAATTAACAAAGATAAGATTGTATGATCCACACTACATACACAAGGCACTTAACCGAAGTTCCTTTTTTTTTAAATTCTCTATGCTTCCTCTATTTGCCAAAAAAATTATTTTAAGAGGTTTACAATAAAATAACATGCAGAGATGAGGGCCTTCACATTAGTTTTGGAGGACACATTTTACCTACCACAGGTAAGAATGGGAGGTGAGGAGAGAGGAGAGAAATTTTCTAGGGCTCAGTTTTATTATCAGAAAAAAGAAAGAAAAGAAAAATACAGCAATCCCAGCAGTAGGGCTGTTTCTATGGACTAGCAGCCAAACATATAAAGTTGCAAGGCACTATCTGAGATCTATCAGACATTCTGTACTAATAACCTAGACTAAAACATTTACTGCAATTGGACATAGAATTTCATTCTGAACATGCTCACAAATAAGGCATAGAAGGAAATAGGAAGACTCAAAAAGCTTTTGTCATCCGAGACTCTTGCCCACATATTAGCATCATTACTCTTCATAGATTCTCAGAGCTGAAAAATAACTAAACATAGCTATCATGTGGTTTCCCTCCTACTTCACCCTCCTAGTTTTTATAAAGGAGGAAACCAAGGTCTAGGAAGTAAAGAAATGACCCAACACATATCTATTAGACAATAGTGATGAGTGCCCACACTAAAAGTAACTATTATTAATTAGTACTACTTAGAAGCAGGATCACAGCTGTCAGCATATTTAGCTAAAAAGGAAAAGCACAGGCAACCGAGTTCCCCAGTTTTAATACTTTGTACCCTAACTCTATATGTGACTTTGGAAAAGTAACTTTACTGCTTGCACTTCTGTTTCACTATATTAGGAGAGGAGAGAGGAAGAAAGTTTGGTTTCCATTATCTCTAAAGAATTTTCCAAATCCAGAAAAGGAAATATTTCTTGCAGCAAAAATAGTAAACTCTGTTCAAGCATTCTGATTCATCTTCAGCCTATTTCCTAAAACCAGCCCAGTGATAACCATGTCTCTAATGTTTAATGGAGGCAGAATTACATTTTCTATAAAGTTTGAAAAACAAATCAAAATGAAGGTTATTAGGTTCTGACTTTGAAAGTAATAATAAGACATTAATTATAATTGGTAAAAATAATAATATTATACAAATGGTTAACCCGTAACTCCAAAAATGTCGGTACTGATATAGACAAACTCTGATAAATCACCAAAGAAAAGTAATTATTTAATAACACAATAGATAGAAAGAGAAATAAAGACTGACAATTTTGAAATGTCCATGGTATGTAGAAGAAAAGAACCACCCAGTCTAATGTATAGATGCTGTGTTATTGTTTCATGTGAGGTCATTTTATAAACCTTATCTCTGGACACATAACAATCCACCATGGTAGATGTCAATATAGATAGATAAATATATATGTATGTGTACATATATATATATATATAGAGAGAGAGAGAGAGAGACATAAACATAGATACATGGAGCTATAGATATATGAAGGCTTAGAGAGAGAAGATAAACTTGTCCCCAGGCTCACTGTGTCCAATCTGATGCCAGAAGTGGTCAAAATAGTATCATTAACAAATTTAGATTTCCTTCCAAATACACACAGATTCTTATATCCATATATCCATTCATCTGATTATTCATACATTCATTCATTGATTTGCTTATTCATTTACTCACTGACTCATTTTGCCAGAATCAGAGTCTATCTTTAGCAAGATGGAAAAAGAAAATGTGTAGGAGAGACAACCTTTCATCTTAAAGCCACTAATGTTGCCAGCCCTGCCTTCTGGAAACTGAGGGTGAATGGAAGTTCTAACAACTCAACTATTGGCGCTTTTTGATATATGCACATATGCAGAAGATATGAAGGAATAATTAAGAGCTCTGAAGTGCTCCCCATGATTCACAAAGTTATCACAAGCCCTGCAAACACAGTATGAGCAACAAGAAGAGAGATGATTACATGAAACCTAGAGCCTCTTAGCTGGATTTCCTTTCAAACATGCCCTTTGTCCTCTGATTATTTTTTCCTCCTGGGATATAGCAAAAGAAAGATTGAAAAGAAGGAGGTATTTGGATACTATTTCTTTTTGCTTTCTGTTTTATTTTCCCCCCTCTCATTTTCATTGGGAGCAGGTGCAGATTAAGTCCTACACTCTGACAAAACATTAAAGGCTAGGGGTCAATGCCACTCAGGGAAGTTGGCCTTGGGGCCTGACGCTCCTGATGTCTGGTCTAAGATGGGGACATGTGGTTTTAGCTAGGGAATGTGTATGTGAAGTTTAGCTCTAAGGGTATTCAAACAATATTCATTTTGAACAGTCTTTTAGTTGGATGTTGGTGGGAATCCATTCATGGATGTACACATGTTTTTAACTGAAATTGAACCCATGAAGCTAAATGTTAAAGATGGTTAATTAAGTCAATGGGTGTGTGGATATTTATGGACACAGATTGGGCTCTGCAGTTAGAAGATCTGGATTTGTGTGCCACACCGACACTTATTGGTTAAGTAGCCTTGGTCAAATCATTACTTCTCTAAAGTTCAGTTTCCTCATCAGTAGTATCTGGAAAGCAGAAATGATACCAACTCTATAGGATGGTTGTAAAAATTAAGTGAGGGTGTTTGTGTGAGAAGGTCCATTGTTAACTGAATGTCTAAGGCTTCAAGGTGCCATGAGACAACCTGGCTTTAGAAACCTGCCTGTCTGATTGGAAACTGTGTTCTGCTACATGTCAGCAGTGAGGCTTTGGGCAAGTCATTAACCTCTGAAATTTCCACTTTGGAAAATGGGATATTAATATCAACCATTTTATCCATGATAATATAGTGATTCAGCATCATGTTTCACATGGACATATAATAGGCTGTCCGACAGCAAAAAAGTAAAGAATCTATACATTGAGAGTTTTCTATAACATGAGGCTGAGGACCTGGACTTTTTTCCTTAGGGAATTGAGGGTGGGGAGCTCATCCAGAAAATTAAGTTAACAAGTGGGCTGGACTGCAATTTCTTGTAATATAGCTGCTGTTGTGTATAATTACTTGTTACCATCTTGTTCAATTATCTTTTCACTTTGGAATAGTCTCATGTGTCTCTATACTTATATGTGTCCTTTTTATTTCCTGAAATTTTGTCAATGGAATGTGTTGCTTAGTCCTCATGATCCCAGAAATCTGGAAAAACACTGCTTCTGATACTATTTTTTGCTACTTAGGTTATTTTCTATTATTTCTTAATGTATACTGCCATTCACTCCCATGATGAGAAGTATAGCCCCATCTTTCTAACTTGTTCAAAGGAATACATGTATTAAATTATCCAAGACAAATTCTCTGCTTAAGGGAAAACTGCATTTGGAGACTTTGAAGGGGCAGCAGGAATTTATTCAGTTCACTAAAGATCTTGTTAATTTAAAGTAACAGTAATTATATATTTGCTTTTTTATCTAATATATACTTTGCAAATATTTTCTTCCATTTCATAGATTCCATTATTTTTTTGATGACTTCCATTGCTGTGTAGAAATGTTTTTAGTTTGATATAGTCCCACTTGTTGATTTTTACTCTTGTTTGAACTTTGGGTGTCGTAGTCAAAAAATGGTTGCCAAGACCAATGTCAAGGAGTAACTTCCCTGTGATTTTAGGATTTTTATGCTATCACGTCTTATGCTTAAGTTTTTAATTTATTTAGAGTTAGTTTTTGTGAGTGATACAAATAGGGACCCAATTTCTTTCTTTTTTTTTTTTTGCATGTGGCTGTCCAATTTCTCTAGCACCATTTGTTGAAGAGACAATCCTTTCCCCATTGAGTATTCCTAGCTCACTTGTCAAATACTAGTTGAACACATCTGTGGGATGTAATTCTGGGCTCCCCATTCTGTTCTATTGGTCTATGTGCCTATTTATTTTATTATTATGTTATGGTAATCACCATACATTAAATCATTAGTTTTTGATGTAGTGTTCCATGATTCATTGTTGGCATATAACACCCAGTGCTCCATGCAGTACATGTCCTTTTTACTTTTTATTTTATTTTATTTTATTTTATTTTATTTTATTTTATTTTATTTTATTTATTTGACAGAGAGAGAGAGACAGTGAGAGAGGGAACACAAGCAGGGGGCGTGGGAGAGGGAGAAGGAGGCCTCCCGCTGAGCAGGGA